TGACAGCGACCAAACCACTGCGCCACCACCACCTCTGATCAACACAGAATGTACATTTCAAATGTACATACATACCTTTTCAAGCATTCTGGCCTGAAAATAAGTGATAGCAAGAATGCCACTGCTGTCGGTTCGCTGCCAGTGTCTCCGACAAACCATTCCCAATCCGTCTGACCCCAATCTGGAAGACGGGAGACACCTACTCTACCTAATCGCCCTGTGCATTTGTTTATGTTTCTTCTTTTGGCCTCCACGTGGTTTCTTCCATTTTAGAGCCGCGACTTCAAATAAGACGTGGTACGGTGAAGTGAGGCCGGTCTGTCTTGCATCTTGTCAAGCTCGCTGACGGACGTCGATTCAGTGGGTTGGTTAAGCCTTGCGATTTTCGCGAGACAGCTAAGTTAGACCCGACGCGATAAGCACAAGGTTTGACGCACTGATTCGGGCGGGCTACAGCTCAAGCACAACTGTTCGTAGTCCCTCAGACATTGGCGATAGCTCAATCACCAAAGATTACCACAACAACTACGACCAGGTACGAGTTTTGTGGCGAAATTACACTACTTGGATGCAAGTATTTGAATGAGCTGACAAAAGATTACGGGACACATGTCTGACGAATGGCAAGAACCGCGAAACCGGTCGTGCGCTTCTAGCGAAATTGGGTCGAATCGTTTGAACACTACTTGTTACGAAATATTCTATAAAGACGCTCAAATCACGTTTGTTACGGTTGGTTGCATCAACCCACCTACAAAACATCTACTCATTGTACTAATTTGATGAACCGGCCCTGAAAGATCTGTCTATCCCCAAATCACCCGATGTTGCAAGCAAGATTATTGTGACGAAAATACACTTTCTGGGTACAGGTATATGAATAAACTGACAAAAGATTACCGAATACGCATGCCTGATGCGCTGCAAGAACCGCGATACTGGTCGTGTTCTTCCAGGGAGATTTAGTCTGGTCTACTATTTATAATGAACTATATCTCTCTGAGTGAGAGACGTGTTGCCTGTGCTTGACCCCATTTTGTGCGTCACACGCAGTAAACTTGCTCTTGTTTTTCGGTATAATTCCCTTTAATTTTGGCATATGCATTCATTATCTGTTTTGATGTCACATACTCAGTGATTACACATACGGTTTTATTTGGTGTATGTGCTTTATATGATTTTTATTTATAAAGTTGTTACGTAACAACTGGTCTCGAGACCAACTAATACTATACAAATGATTTCCTTTTTTTGCAGTTCATTTTTCTACATGGTCTGGGCGACTCTGGGTAAGTATCATGCAGGATACTGCTAATTTTTTAGACATGGATGGGCTAGTATACTTATGGACCTCATCCCGGACTATTGCAAACTCATTTGCCCGCATGCGTAAGTGATTGTTTTGAGATCTTCCATACTCACTGCCTCTTAATTCTCGGCAACTTACAGACCACAGTTATCTGTCACTTTGAATGGCGGTATGCGAATGCCTGCATGGTTCGTCTGTCGTTCACCTCTCTCTGATTAACTTATGTTCCAGGTATGACATATACAACTTGCACATCGACTCTAAACAGGATGAGAAAGGGATAATAGAAGCTTCTGCTGAATGTAACTATATTTGATGATAGTAATAAAGACATCGGGAAAATTTGCCCCTATTTTTAGTGGATAAGTTTGTTGCAGCTGAAATAAGCAATGGCATTCCATCAAAGCGAATAGTGATTGGCGGTTTTTCTCAAGGTGGCTCCGTAGCCCTGTATCACGCTGTAACGGCAAATCGTACATACGGGGGCGTAGTCGCACTTAGCTCATGGCTCCCACTTCACTCCAAGCTCATGTCCGATCAATCGGTAAGTGAAGCTTTACAGTGTGATTGATTAAGTCCATTCTATTCAGCTCATTCAAATCCCCAAGGATACGGCTGTGTTTCAAGGTCATGGATCAAGCGACTGCATTGTGGCACATGAGATGGGCAAAGCAACCCACGAAGTTCTCAAGGGATTTCATCTGACCAATTGCGATTTCTGTACCTACAATAATATGGGTCATTCATCATGTGATCAGGTAATTGTATCCTATCTGTATTTTTGCTACGTTTCACGTCCGCTCTTCCGATCGTTACTTGTTATGCTAATGTTCCTCCCAATTATTTTCCTCTCTCCAGGAAATGAATGACGTCAAGGCATTCCTCAAGCGGGTCATCCCGATCACATGAGCCGTAGTGCTCAGATCTACCCAGCTAATCGCCAGCACTTATTGTGTAACCCAGGAGTTTTCAGTTCGCCCTTTATCTTGTCGTGACATACACTCACTCATCCATTCACTCACTCAACTACCCCTTCCCCCCAACCCACCCCACTTCCACTTTTACGTCACCAGTAATTATTTCCTTTAATTCTCATCCTGAACTCTATAATATTTTTCGTTCCCGCTACTGGTTACTCCCAGTTGTTGTTCCTTACAGTTTAAACCAATGTATCCCAAATCATCGGTTTCCATGAGTGTGTATGCAGTCGCCCTTTGTCGTATTTCCAATGAGTTTTGAAACATTAGCGCTAACAGAAATGTTATTGTAATGGAAACCAATCACTAAAGCTGGATCGGCAGGTCTGTTACCGAAACATGGGCTACGGTTCTGTCGTAACATTGTGCAGTAATGTCCTGGTATTCAAACTAAGAGATGTAAACCCCATTTACAGTGGAATTGTTACCCCAGAGGGATATGAGCATTTTTGTTTTAGCTACAGCTGCCTATGTAATCGGGTGTTAGGGCAGGTAGCAGCACTGAGTGGCTGTAAAATAAATTCAAGAAATCGCGTCTATGTTGCTCGCTTTTAGAAATACCACACCATTTTGGAATGCTCAGTCTTCCAATCGCGATTCCCCTAAAATCGCAAAGGATTCCGTCGGGGAAATTAATTGTCACGAGGATGACCGATTGTTATGTCATGTAATAACACGAGCAGGTAGGGGGGTTCCTCACCATCTTTCGCGTATTTATTGGCTGTGAATCGTTCCGTATATCTTTTTATCTTAGAGGAGATATGCAACTTGAATCAGGGCAGAGTTAGCCGGTATCGGGGTAGCATCAGGACACGTAGTCATGCGCACGCTGTGGATGCATACGTTTAGAAATTGTGAACATGTTCGATTAATTGCGACGGACATAACGTGTTGACCAAATATCCACCTGGTCCCTGTGGTTGTATGTCCGCGACCCTTAAGGCACGATTGATCTTGGTTACCGTGTGCTCTCTTCTTCCACTGTTCTCCACGTGGTGCGATGTAATTGAATTTCAGTCAAATATAATGCTTTTGTAACAATTTCCGCGTTAAATGATCATCTTAAACTCTTAATTTAGTGTGATGAATGTCTTTGGTGACATTTTAAGGTGGTCACTTATCCGATTCTGACAATTATTTACAGAGGCTAGTTTCAGGATTCATATTGCTATTGAAGTAGGGTTACGGCCACAAGGCCGACTGCCAACCTCCGAAGGTATCGCATTATCGATTCACACATTTAAGTGAGCTAAGACCCATCCTAAATTACTATTAGTTCTCATTTTGTTTACAATGATCTATGTCCAAAATGATTATTACATTGATTGCGTGTTTCGTTCTGCACCTCAGACGTTTGACCACGTCCAAAGTATGCATAATTCGATCAATTGGATATCGACCCCCAATGCATTACGGTTGTCGCACAATGCACCGCTACCTTGTAGTTCAGACTTAGGCTAGCCGAAGGTTCCGTTCGTGAATTCCCCATTGTACCGAATTGACGTCCAGTGATAGAGTGACTGGCAAATACCGAATCCGAATTAAAAGAATACAAGACTGTACTGATAAGGTAATCATTCGTCTAATTGTAAGCCGGTACACAATATACCTCATTCTAGGAGCAACTTGGTCGGGGCACACAACCAACCTGATAGGACAGTCTAAAGTGCGAGGATGTCCGTCTCGCGGCAATCGAAAAGAGAAAACCAACGAACAATGGGAAAGCAATAAAATGGCCTTCAAGCAAACAATGAGGGACAAGTAGAGATCAAGCACGGGTGGGACGGCGCAAAAGGATACGGTTGTCAACATTCACGCGGTGATGGATAATCAGGCGACCAAGGTCAAAGGGTCATGAAAAGGGGTGACAGATTTAGCTCAAGGGCGATCAAGTGATAGACGAGCAGGGCGTTAGGCCAACAAACGAGTTGACTCGTGTGGGGCGGGTGGAATGGTATGTTGCAGTTAGACCACAGTAGAGTCATGAATCAACAGAGCAATCCGAATTAGTGGATTTTGGCTGAAATACTGAATTTCCACCAAATCGTACACCACCCCAAAATTCACACGACGAGTTGTCGCCCAAAGACACCACACACCAATGGCTCCCCTGAGTCGTATCCATTCTCCTGCGCAGCCGGTTTTCGGTGACGTGGTTAAGTTGGGGCTCATGTGACATCGGTTTATCGGACTTGTGACTTCGTGTATAGGAGCAAAGGTGCTCAAACTAGGACTTGTTATGGGGTATGCAAACCCTTACCAGGAGCCTCGGTCATCTAGGTCGTGTTAGGCCCCCTGGATGGATCATTGTAATCAGTGGTTTTAGACACCGAGTGATATGGCGGTGTCGTAGACAGTGGCACTGGTGCATCTCGATCTCTGCAAAGTTGAACTACTGGGATTCTTCGACTCTACTCTGAACTTTCCAATCTTTCTGCTGCTTCATCCACATAGGCAGTCAAAACTGGCATACAGTGCATGGTTAACGGTTAAACCAACTGAAAACAAACAGACTGGATAATAGCAATGCGATGCGGAACAAACATCGTTGATCTCTTTGATGCGTTGTGAAGATAATATGAAACAACCATAGAATCATTCGAGGTGAATACGGCAAAAAGAAAACTTCAGGTATGCTTACAAGTTGTTGAGCCTCCTAATCGCCAACAGTACAGCTACTTGGTGGCGATGATCAACTGGTAAGGTCGTAAAAATAACCACCTGGAGGTCCTGATTTCAAACCGCGCTACCGCTGCCCGTCTTCCTATTATCTGTATTTCCTCAAACAACAGCTCACTCCGTGAAATTTTATTGTACATCATGATCAATAAACAAAAAATTAAAAATATTTTTCTTTATTTGTATTACAAGTTCCGGCTACGAGATACTTACAGACTTAGACGGCGCCGCTCTTGTTTTGCCTAGGAACATTGAACTGCCCTGGGAACCTATCCTGGAAACTAAACAGAAGTTATCTACCTTTCTCTATGCGGCCTCTAAATCGTCGCAGAGCAAATGGAATTCTGTATCTTCCATCATGGCCATTTCCCAGGGCATTGCACGATTAGCCATTCTCAGCTGAAGCCATTCTAGTGATGCAGTCCATTCCTGTTAATGTCTTCGTTTTTGGTTCGTCCTATCCACGACCTTCTTTACACTAAGGCTGCTTCAGCAGGATTAAACAAAGTGACAAAACTCAAGGGTTTTCCCCGGGGTCGTTGACAATCACGTATAGTTGGAATCGAACGGTCCATTCAGGAAGACCCAAATGTGTCTCCTTGTCTTGTCGTAACTTTCCTTATTCCCGGACAAACAATACCGAGGTTAGGCGCAGAGATTTATGTGATCGAGGCCGTGCACTACATCACGTGTCGATCTCCGTAGACTTCGTTTGTTGGGGCACATGTCACCAAGTAGGTTACAACTGCGCACGATTTTTACCGAGGTTCCGCGCTCTGGATGGGGTTCTGGGTTCCATGGCAATCAGACTTCAGAGAGACTGAATAATATGATCGAGTGTCATAAACAGCAGTGGTCGTGCTTCTACTCGCTTTCCGTGCAATCGTAATCATCATTACTTCACTGTTATCACTCTGACACTGATTGGAGCATTCTAAGCTTCGCTTTATTGTTTCCTCTAAATGGGCAGACATGAGACAGCAAGAAAAACCGGCGCACGAAAGTTTGCTTAATGGTCGCGAAAACTAAAGCTGACCTCTAAATCGATTCAATAAAGTTCAAAGTTTTATTATGGGCGATTTAATAAAGCTAAAGCTTATCATTCCCCGTGGGATTTTTACAGAATCTTTTGAATAACTTCACAAAGAGAAAATAACAATGATAATAAAGTGCGTGATCACTCACGGATGTTGAAATTTTAAGTGTTCCACTGCTTTCTCACGTTGCAATTTAAATAGTTCAACTATTGGAGCACACTACATCAGATGGGAGAGAATTCCATACACCGCACCCCCCGGGTAGCGGTGATAGGCTCTGATAATGAATCACCAATACGAACTGACACGGTCCTTTGTCGGAGAAACTCCTTGATCCAGTCTAGAACCAAACCTCTTACTCCGTAGTTGTAGAGTTTTCGCAGTAGAATTTGGTGGTTTACTCGATCAAATGCCTTGGAGAAGTCCAAATAAACTATGTCCAATGGCTGGCCTGCATCGACGGATTTTGTCCACTTATCCCGTGCAAGGAGTAGGTTTGTGGTGCACAAACGCTTGTGCCGAAATCCGGTGCTGGATTGGAGACAAAAGGTCATGCTTCTCCAGATATTCCATCAACAGATCTGCCACAATAGCCTCCATGACTTTCGACAATATCGGAAGAAGTGTAACAGGGCGGTAGTTGGCTGGATCACTACGAGATCCCCCTTTGTAACTGGGAGAAATCACCTCTTCCTTCCATGACTGCGGAATTACTGCCTCGTTGAACATCCTTTGGTAAGGAACAGCCAGAGGTTCAGAAACGTTATTGGCTAGCGACATCAGAGTCCGGGGATGCATGTTGTCTGCGCCTGGGGATGAATTCTTACGCAAAGTTGGTACTTTTGCTCTTACTTTCTCACTGTCAAAAACCATGTTATCCAGTGACGGATACGGTATACAGGTTAGTTTGCTTGGAATCTGTAATGCTTCGTGTATCGTTGCAGTAAACACCTGAGCGAACTGTTTTTTGAGTAACTCTGCTGCTTCTAGAGTAGTGGTTGAAACATGTCCAGACAATCTCAATGCTGGTTTTCTGCATTTCACCTTCCTCGTAGAATTGAGTATTTTATAAAGCAATTTTGGATCAGAAATGAATTTTTGAGCCAGGGTTTCTTGTTACATCCATTTGTCCTCTGGTGCCAACTTGGTACACTGATTTCGTAGGAAGGAATAATTATTCCAAGTTTCGATAGATGGACATCTTCTGTACTTCCGCCAGGAAATGTTCCTTTGCACTATCCATTTCTTTGTTCGGCTGCGAATGAATGAATGACGATTTTTAGATTTAGCATAAGTTTTTATACTTGTTGCAGCCGTTACAATTTCGGTAAGATAATCAGTGAAGCTCTTCCATGCCACCACAGGATCGTGATCATCTTTTGGGAGGACCCATTGCTTAATTATTATAGGTTTTGCAGCTTTTTTTAGTCTATGATGGCACGAGTACTGCTCTTTCGGTTTTCTTGGGTAGATGCGTAGCCTATATAATCAAACATCAATACGGCATGGTCACTACGTCCTAATGAGGACGTGGCATTGACAGCTGCCACCAACAGCTCCTCGTTAGTCAGCACTAAATCCAGTGTTGATGGTTCGTGACCTGCTCCAAATCTGGTGGGTTCTGTTACGTGGTTGTACAGTGGGTGCAATTCAATCAACTGAGATAATTATCTCTCGAATGGCTGGCGGGAAGTCCTCGTTCTTATGAGATTGGAGCAGTTAAAGTCACCCATTATGAGGGCATGGGTGAACTTTAGTCATTCCTCATGGTTTGCAACAAAATCTCGTTGGCTGAGTCTGAAGATGCGGGAGGTCGGTACACAACACCGATTAGATACCTATCATTTTTGGGGAGTCTTACTGAACACCATAACGAATCGGGGGCTGCGTCGGAAATTGTCAAACTGTTCATGCTGTAGATTGTTTCGATAATAAAGCAACACTCCATCGATTCGAGTAGGACGATCACGTCTGAGCAGCGACCTTCCAGATAGAAGCAATTCCAAGTCGAGAATGTCGGTGGTCAGCCAAGTTTCAGTAATGGCAACAATGTCAAATCGATTAGTTTTCCAACGAGGTTCCATCTCAGGGAATTTGCTAACCTCGTGCATTGGTATAAAAACATGAAAGATATCTACGGCAAATAAATCTATCTGGGTATATGGTTTTGTTTCTGTCGACCAACTTGGGGTCGGCTAACAATGGTTTATTGTAGATTTGGTTTCGTCGGTGCTGCTTGGTGAACGTAGAGTGATAAAAACTGCGCTAGTCGAGGAAGGTGGCATGTTAGTATCGGTTACCGTTTTCGGACTTTGGTGGGATCCAGTATTATGTAATAGTCCTATTATCCTTCCATGACTGCAATACGAGGTTGGCCATTTCTGGCGTTCAATCAATTAGTTTTTCCTTTCCTCCGGAGGCCCACTTTCTATATAAATTACACAGTCGTATCAACTTGATAACTTTTTTGAATTTGATGGCAATGGGCGAATCACGCTTTACTGCTATGTTCAGTAAGATTTTCGGGCTCTTCGTGCTTTGTTTTCAGTGATAGAAACGGTAGTTGGGCCAATACAGAACAAGTCCTCTTGAAGTGATTTGGTCGCGAATCGAGGGAGTAGGAATGACTCAGTGTGCGGTACTTTCCACACCACCGTAAAACGTTTTAATTCACGTGCGAGGAAACAAGTACTCATTCGAGTCAGGTATCTGTGGTACACGATTGCGATTCAAATACTGATTTTCCCGAATATTTTATAGGTTACAATTACTTATCAGTTTATTTAATAGCTTTATTTATAAAAATTATATTGACAAGAAATATATATATATAACATCAATTTTTACAGCTAAGGCGCAAAAATAACCATGGGTTGAACGCGAAATATGGAAACACAAAATAGAGAAAACAAAAACAGTTGACTTTGGGGACAATGCCTTTTTTGTTTGTCTATTGCATGCCATTTTGCCTATTTTGTTTGTTCTACTGTTCTTTTGATAAGTAAGCAATCGACTTCCAGCAGAGTCCTCAAAGAACTTGGTAAGGGAAGAAACCAGATCAACCGCGCCGATTTCATCTGAATTTTGTTCAATCAAAAGACAATGAGGCAAGAAGAAATATGATATTCCCTCTGTGACCAAATGTATCGTTGTTCTTGAATGATAACCAGGATGGGTGATTTCCTCCACGAGTCTATTGTTTCAGAATCTGTTTCTCCGATAGACATTATATCACTTTTTATTAACCCAAAGGTGCTACTAGTCTTGTGTTTCGGAATCTCTTCCCATCATGCTTATTATTTGATCTTAGCTGTTTATGACGAAACCAAAACGTTTGTGCACTCTTTGATCCTATGATTCAAACAGTATTAGACTGCCGTTTGAATAGGTCTGAGGTGAATTCTTTCCAAGAATGTATATTGATTGACACTAGGCACTGGACAACTGATTCGATCTGATAGGAACTCTTATGGTTCAAATATCCCTACTGAACGTCATGTGGTGAGCATTCGGGTTGTTCTAAACTCTTATGACCGTATCCCACAATGGACGTCCGAGCGCAAGGCTTTGTCAATTGATTCCATTTTTGTTTTTAATCCCAAAGAGTGGATGAAACCCACAAAAGAACAGTAGTTTACACACCCTGATCTCAGTGAATTCTCATGGAATCGAACGCGTATATATAGCACTGTCAAAGGTGTCTTACGTTTTACCCCAACAGACAGGTGATTTAATATATGGTTTCGGAAGTACCAAGTGGCCTCTGTTGTGGAATGGTCGCCTCGTCCTTAGCACCAACAAATAAGGCAGATATCGACAATGATCATCCATCGGAGACAAATATGTTTGTGATTATTCTTTGGTCTTGTGATAGTTTTTGCATGTTTGACATTTAGGCTCTCAGAATGTGATGCGATACACAGAATGATGGCAATGATTTGGTTCAACGAGCGGCCAAACGCCTTATCAATTACCGTACCTAACATGCAAACGGCAATTAATAGCCGGGAACTCATTTCGTTGACAACCGCTACGTTACAAACGAGATTCCATCTTTCCTTCCCATATGTGGAATTTCAAATAACCCAGTAATCATGATCGTTATACAAAATGGGCATCATGGTCGAGCCAGTTATTATCGTATTACAAAGGCAATCAGAGCCTCAGTTTGAAAAAATAGTTTCCACTGGTTGAATTTATGTTTATCTCGTATGAGTTCTCAGTTTTCTCATGTACTCATACATCCCCGCCTAAAGTTGGAATAGATTATTTCATATCCTAACGGCCAACTGCAATCAATAGGAATGGGAAAAGTTTGTGCACAAGGAATGATTTTGCAATTGTATTTGCGGCTTTTAGGGGAAAGTTGTGGGTTTTAGCACGCAACGTATGTGCTGCTCGCTCACAGTCTAATGGGGTTTTCGCCGTTTGCATAACGTGTTTTGACCACCTCAAATCTGACACGCACAGGTGCGATTCAGTTCACACTGAATTCTAAACGCGGTTCAGGTAACCGGCAAACAATTTATAGGCCGAAAGGATTGTCCAGTAACAGTCGGAGTCCACGAGCCGGGGGTTTGCTTGTCCTGTCATCAACAGGTGCTAACCAATGGGGCACAGTATCGACAAATTCTTGCAAACTGAGAAATTGTTCTAACCGGGCGGTGAGATCGATTGATCGTTCCTTCTCCGACTTGTATTTCAACGGCATAGATCGAAGCAACCACTTGGGCAATCGACAAGTGTCCGCATAATCACTGAGCTTTTGTCGATACTTTCCTTTTTCACACTCCGGACTGCGAGGATTGTATGCTGATTGTGAAAAAACAAGCAAACAGAAGGTGCACATATTTTTTCCACAGTGAACATGACGTGTACTGACCAATTTCAGTCTATAACCTGATCACTTGTGCACGTTCATTTTCTTTGCTTCCTTTTTCCGTAGTTTATCAGAACGAAAAGTTAAACGGCTAGAGAGAATAAAATTCTTTGCTAAATAAAAAACAAAGAATCAACACTTACGTATCACGACCTGTAGTGCAAACAAGACCGTGTTTGTCTGATTCAATCGAGCTCATTACAATCGCGATTATTCATTTCATACTGAACAGTCTCAGAGTGAATTAAACGCACACTGCGAAATTGAGAAGCGCTATGTGCGGTGGGAACAATTGACAATGAGCGTCAAGCTAACAAATTAGGGACTGACGTTAGTGCTAGGATGGGCTGAGGTTAGTCGCACCAAGTTCTCAAAGCGGATTGGCAGTATATAACGTGTGGTCAGTGTTCCAAATGGTCGGATCAGTTGGTAGAGGCTGTGTAGTTGATATGCTTACGCTTTATCTGTGGGGTTGTTTCTTCCATTTTGGTTGATAATTCACAATAAAATAGAATCGCTAATGAAACATTGCAGAAATATTCAATTTGCGTTCACTATGCGAAGATTTTTAGTCCATGATCAATTTACGCTACGTTTGGTACAAAACATGTGCTTTGCTGTTCCGTTTTCTGTGCATCCATTTGATTGAAGTAAAGAGGTCAAATGACAAATCAAGGGCTCCCGACTAGAGATATAAACTAGGAGAAAATTCGTCAAGCATGGAACATGAATTGATGCAGCAGCTTCCCTACCGATAACATTCATCGGTGTCAACCAATGCCTCCAATTATTTATCAAGTGGATACTTCACAACAGTCATCGTTGGATGACGTTTGCTTCCTGGAAAGTTCCACTTGTTCTCCAATAAAACGAATGTCTTCTTGTGTTTGCTAATCTCACAGATTGTCGGAGCAACAGAGGTCAGGTGTCACACAAAAATCCTGATTATTATCAAATGGCCAGCCATGGAGCCTAACGCGATTGGGAACCTCGGTCACATACGTGCTGTTAGGCTCCCTGACTGGGACCTCAGGATGATCGTAACCGGTGATTAGAGACACTGAGTGTCGTAAACAACGGTGTTCGTGCATCTTCTCAATTGCTTTGCAGTCTTAGCCCACTGAGACTCTCCATTTTCTCTCCTGCTCTACTTTCAACTTTCCCGTCTTTCTCCTACTGTTCATCAAAATGGGTAACCAAACCTAGCGCACGAAAGTGCACGGTTAGTGGTTGTACAAACTGAGACTAAACTGAATCCATCTCACGGTCTTTTGTTTCATACTTCCATACTGATTCTATTGCCGTTGACTAATATTAGAACATTAGTTTGTCATATTTTCATATTTACCGGGTTACAATATCTTTGACAGGTAGCCCAAAGAAAGCGGATGCGGTTGAATCTCGCGGGCTCATAAATCATCAACACACCAGAGAAGAACAAGTTTATGTCGAGAACATTATGTCAAACTCGATTTCTGAAATTATTTCCTTTGTATTTACAACTTTCGTTCTTATTTTTAGACATTACGCGGTGGAAATAATTGATTGATATGAAAGTTACGGTTCATTGCTTCACGATTTCATTCTCATTCTTAGATTTTTTCCTTCAGCGCTCGTTTGTGTTGGATATGGGCATCTCCAAAACTCATCATTTCATTCGTTGCATTCGCCCGATAGAGAGAGAGAGCGAGAAAGATGTAATTACATGATCACACACACACACACAGACTGACCCATTCAGTCTGCGACGCGCTTACCTTTTAAATGTAAACCCATATAGATTAGTGCAGATCGTTTGGCTTTCAAAAACGGATATTTTGGTCTTTCCTGTCCCACGGCAGAGAGAGCCTGACGAAGTGCAATAGATACAGTCTGTTCAAGGAAGCCGGGGAGTGGCAAAGTTTGTACGGATATCGCAGACGGAATAGGCGGTAGTTTGGTTGGTAGCTTCAAATCCTTGTACAGATGAGGTTTTCTGGGATCAAGTACAGGTGACGGAAGAAAGGGGGAGGGTGATAATAGGAAAATATTGTTATTTTGCCATTCGTTCACCGAATTGTACAGCCTCTGAGTGCTAAACACCATCAGTCGTATGGATCTGCTCGTCCAAACTGGAATAGCTGTGCAATTGATGTTTATTGTGATTTCTTCCTTAAGCCACCATGGTTATTTTAGTTGAATTTACCGGTGACCGGTTGTACTGCATGTAGTTGGTTTCGTGTAAATTGAAACGTTTACGGCTGACCGATATGGGTTAGAAAGCAATGTGTGATACATGAGCAATCCTTCTATAAATGCTGACAATTATCGGCATTATCCTTACTCAAACGTGGTCGGTTTTTAGGTGGTTAGCGTGGTTGCCAAAATCAGTTTCCATCGCGCATGCAGCATCGTTTTTACGAAACCCAGAGAATACCTGGACCGTGTCACCAACCGAAGCCCTGTTGTCCAGAAATGCTCCGATAAAACTTTGTAGATGACTGTGAACGCATTGTGACCAATGCAGTGGTTTTTGTCGTTCGTTCAAAGGTATACAAGCCG